TTATCCCCTGAGTCTGGATAGACGAAAGGAAAGAAGGAAATTAGGAACTAATTATAGGTAGTTAAAGTTAGTTAGTTAGCTAAGAATAAAGTAAGGAAGTTCTATTTGGTCTATTAGAACATATATATAATATACAGATTATAAGTATAAGTAATTACCTTATTAGTACCCAGTTTCCTTACAGATGTAAGAGAAGGCAAGTATATATATTTACTATTCATAAAATATGAATGCTTGCAATTATGGATAGCTGCAAAATGTATAAATTTGCAAGTTTCCCTAGAAACCTCGAGAAAGAAAGATAGGTTAATATGTGGGTCGTTAATTGCCTAAGGAAAAGCTGTTTTTTTCACATCTCATTTATATCGTCACAACATATATGTTAATTGAATTAAGTATGTATCATGTTATAAAAGCAAATCGAATCCACACTGTATTAGACGCAGGTGTCTTGATGAGTGCATAAGTAATTGCCTTGTACCCGAAGATATTTTACTAATAGTGGTAATGTCTAACTACATGGCAGTATATAATGATAGGGGGGAGACATAGTGGTAGCAGGTGGAGTAACGTGCTATTGGTGTTGGAAACCATTGAGACCTGTACTACCCAAGACGACTCTGGTAAGGACAAAACTATTTTTCTAGATCAGTAGTCAGTTCTGGTAGGTTTTTCAGGCCTAGCAGGGTGCCCGAACATTAACTACTTGGGGTGATGCGCTTAATCTCTACGAGGGCCGTATGCCCGGATATCTAAGTCTACCAGGTAAGTTGAAACAGCAGTATGGAGATGATACTGATTTGTATTTGATCTAGCCCTTAGGCGGATGGCAAAGAAGGCTAATTTATATCCAGGAGTTACAAAAACATATGGACTGACTGGGGTAATGAGTTGAGCGGGTGTTTTGGCGCGTATATATGGATAAACAAACCCAAGTAATATAGAATAAGAATATATATATATATATATATATAATGTATAGACGAAAGGACATCAAAGAATTAGGAATGAATATAGAATAATTAAGTTTAGTTTTCAACTCAATAGGAGAGTAAGTTAGTAAAGTCAATTTCATTAGAATATAATTAGTATTACTTTAAGTATTACCTAATTTAGATCCATTCCGAACCATCTTTGAGTATATTGCAATATATGTGATTTATCACTTGAAAATAAAGTATGCTACGAGGTGATATAATTTCATTGTCTACGGATGTCTTTTCAGGCGTAGAACATTCGGATCAATTTTTTTTTTTTGACGTTTAACGGTGTAGTGCGACCGCGACTGGAGAACTCTTCATTCAGGTTTATCTAATCACAAATTTACACAATTAGACCAATATTAGGTATCTAGATAAACGGTAGCATAACAATGTCGAGAATAAGCCGGAGGAAGAATATCAGGTTCTTGATTTGGTCGCTTGTGTTGCTATCCTTGCTTGCATTTATCGTGACAACATATGATGTGCATGATGGAGTTATTAAATTTTCCAATGAGCCACTAAAGGAGACTCAGCAATTAGGCAACAGAAAAAAGAGACCAAGTGGAAAAGATGAAAAAGCCAATGAGGACAATGGAGACGATAATGATGAACACCGGGCCGCAAAGAACAATCAAAAGAATAGCGGAAAGAAAGGAAGTGAAAGTAAGAACGATGATGGAGACAACGGGAAACAGACAGCACAGAAAGGAAAAGCTAATGATAAGAATAATGCCAAACAAAAGCCTCAGAAGTCTGAAAATGCTGCCAAACCCGGAACCCCAAAGAAACCGCAGAAATCAGGAAAAACAGAAGAGGAGGAAAAAGTTGATAAAGAAGGGAAAGCAGAAAAACCCGCAGATAAGAATACCGAGGATCAGAAAGCAATGGGCTCAGATGATGAAGCCAAAAAACCCGATGCAAAACCACTGAAATATAAGACTACTCCAAAGCCTAAATTACCTCCGAAGCCTAAAGAAAAAGAAGAGGAATCTGCAAAAGATCAAAAAGGATCTAAGTTGAAATCTAGCCCTAAAGATGCGGTTAATGATTATGTCAACGAAAAATATGGAGACCATTCAAATGATCCTAAAAATCCTAACATGTTTCTTGGGGATACATACAAGGGACCTGCCAACGATGGAAGTATCTATGACGAAGATGAAGATGATAATGATAATGACGACGCGGATAACGATGCTCCTCATATTCATGAGTCCGAACAAGAAGGAACTTTGGGCTCTGGTCCAGTACCTAACTCAGCACTTAAGCCAGTGACAATAAAAGAGAAGCAATTTGCTGACGTTCCAGAAAAATTTGATGAGATTCAGCCTTTAAATTTCAGGGTATATTCCCATAATGTTAAGAATGGTGGTCACGATATCTTGGTCTCAGGGGAGAGAACATGGGCAGAAAGAGTAAACAACATAGCTACTTCGATTGCTTTTAATGCACGCCATGATACAATCGTAGCATTACAAGAAGTTTACAAATTTCAGTTAGACAATCTTTTGAGTGAATTAAATAGATATTCACCGCCCAACAATCCTGAATGGGCAGCCTATGGTGCGGGTAGGATTGATGGTAGAAATATTGGGGAATTTGTGCCTGTTCTCTACAAAACTTCTGAATGGGAATTAGTTTTCAGTGATACTATGTGGTTGAACGATAAAGATCCAAGAGTATCGTTAGAAGGCTGGGATGCAAAGTACTTGAGGATTTGTTCATATGTCACCTTAAAACATAAACGGACAGAAAACTACTTTAATGTATTCAATACCCACTTTGACCATGTTGGTGAGCTTTCTAGAATTGGTTCTGCCAGCATGATTGTTCAAAAGATGAATGAGATTAATAAATGGCCTTCCATATTCTGTGGAGATTTAAATGCAGAACCAAAAGAAAGAACATACCAATTAATCACAGAGGATTACAAAGACGTATCTAAACTAACTACTGCTTTCAATAGATATGGTCATACTAAGTCCAGTGTAACTGGATTTGAAGGTGAAGTTTTACTTCAAGGAGGTCAGAATATTGATTATATCTTTGCACCTGGCTATACTACTAAGGTTAATCAGCAGGATGATTGTAATGAACAGTCGAGGCCGGAAGATTCGCCAGAAGCCAATTTATCATTGAAGTTGCAAGTATTTGCAATGTTACATTCCAAATTCAATGGTGCTTATATGAGTGACCATAGACCGCTAGTTGCAGATTTCACTTTAGAAAACAAGTGTAAATGATACTACGGAGATATTTTTTACATTCCTTATTCATAATTATATATTGTGTCATTAATTATATAACGTTTAGTTCTTTTGTTACATACAATTGTATTATTATTAATTATGTATGAATTTTACCGAAACGATATTATGATATCTTTAAACTCTTATATCGTCATAAAGAGTATACCATTGTCTTGATATTGTGCAACCTTATATTCATGATAAAGAAACATGTTCAAGAACTTTAGTAATGTGATCAGTCTCGTTTTGCTCTTTATCTTCAAACTTAGAAACGCTATCATTATGGTCTTTACTTTTCGTGCTGAAGTTTGTATCTTCAGACTTTTTGGCTTTTTTCTTGCTCCGTGTCTTGCCCTTTTTATTTCGATTGTTAATTACCCCAACATTATCCTGTACTAATAGCTGATTTTTCTGCATTGTAGCCAAATATCTCCTCCATTTGACAAATCTACTAATAATTGTTTTCTCCAAACGATAAGGACTTAATCTGAATGATTTTAGGATAATTAAATTGTTATTCTTACTGAAAGTAAGTTGGTGATGATGAAGCGCCAAGCTTCGTGGCATTCTCACGGCTTTAGATATAAACTCTGCAATAAACCAAAACCATTTATCCAAAAATGCACGATGTAGGAGTGGATTATTCGAAGTTTCCAACAACTCCGATACGTTAAGCTTTTCTACGTATTTGAGATTAAAGTTATCATCTCTATATCCAATAACCAATTCATTAGTACCAGCTAAATAGCATTGAAGAATTGCCTTTATAAGATTATTGCGACTACCTATTTTACGAGACTTCATTTCAATATTATTCTCAAGAATTTTGTATTTGAATTCAGTCTCATCGTAGAGCGCCGCCACCTCTTCCAGTCTTCGTTTGATAGAATCAATTTCGCATGATACTAGAACAGATAGTCCAGTTTCCGGGAATGTATGGTTTATCATTGAATTATATTTTACGGCATTATTGATCGGAGGTATAAATTCAAATGTTTTAGAGTTATTTATTTCAAACTCGGCACAAGTCATAACTTCTTCAAAATTATAACCAGTCATACTACTAGCATCCGCTCTTTTTTGAGGCCTCTGTTCTGCTTCCATAAATACCTGTCCATCGAAAGCTACAATATTTTGAATTATAGCACTTTTCTGGAAGGGAAGATGTAATAAGTCTAATAACGTATGCCTCGACGTTACAATATTCTCATCCAATTTCTTATTTTCATTTCTTTCAAACTCTTCCATTGCAACATATTTGGTACCTCGTACATTATCAAGTGTCAGCGAAGTTCGACTAAGAACTCTGAATTTCTTGTGGCCACTACTCAAATCGACATTTATCTTAGCGTTCATTCTAGGGCTTTCTAAACTATCCGCCATGAAAAGACCCGAGTTTACATCAAAATACCTGGCTTCTGATCTATCTAGCGCTATTTGCAATTCTTTATTTCGGCAGTAGCATAGTTCTTCATAACAGGGTTCCTTGGTGACATTTGATTCCTGTAGCAAGTCAATAAATTCTGGACTCTTAACATAATCCATTGGTATTTGACCTAGTTCAATACACAGCTTTAGGAAGTCATCTATCAGGGTATACATATCACTTATCAATTCTTATATAGTTTTATAGTTCGAGGCAATTGTGATCATTATTTTAGATAGAAGTGATTGTTTAGTAAATTCAAGTAAGCCAGCTTTGCAGTTTAAACATAGGTATCTATTGCTGTTATTTATATACAAACTAGGACGTATAAATATGGACAACAATGCTATTTTGATAAGAACTTCGTTATAAAGTGGACCAATTTTAAATCATACTAATCGCGCATCTGATATCGAAATAAACATAACAAAAGGGAACTATCTCTTTTTAATCATTATAATAATATAACACAGATATGGAGAATCCACACGAACAGGTCCAGAATGCGTTGTTGTCACGTATTATCAGCAATATGGTGAGTATAATTATTAGGAATATCTATCAATGAAGTTGTATACTGACTGTTTTATAGGAAAACTTGAATGAATCGATTGTCACAATGAATAAGTCATTACAAGACATAAATAGAGGAAATATGGACACAGAGATGGTAGCACAGATGTGGGAGAACTATTCCAAGAACTCTGAATTCAATTTGGAAGCCACGGGACAGAAAAAAGACCCTATATGAAGCGCTGGATTTTTTAGTGTTTCCACCCCAAATAATGTACTATATCTACGACATGGATGGTCTCCCGATAGCGACTACTCCCGTGTTTCTACTACAACTAGTTTTCAATATAAAGAAATTAAATTATTTATGTAATGTACATATAGTAGATAAATGTATTTTAATGGCATATGGAAGCTAGCAACAAACATAACGCCATACCCAGAGACTCTCCATCATTCAACACAGTCCTCCAGGTCGCATTTCTTTCTCTAGTCGTCGTTTTTCACCCCTCTCATCGTTCTGTCAGCCTTTTTCACTTCATGTCTAATGCATCATCAATCTACTCCGTTAAATAAGCAAAAAAATAACACACAACAAAGAATTCACACCAAACACCTCAAATATCTATTGGGTTGGTAATAAACCAAACCTCTTCTTCAAGGTGACTCTTTGTCTGGAATATTTGTCATCTGGTGAAAATCTGGCTGGATGAGCAGACTTGGTAATTTCACCATCTGCCGTGGTTTTGTTTAAAGTGTAGACTCTCTTGCCGTCTGGTCCTAATGTGTACATTAAATGCATGGTGCTGTTATTTTTATAATACGTATTATTCAAGAAACTTCAACTAGTAGATTTTTCAAGATGAGTTCCATATAATATATAAAAAAAAATTTAATCCATGGCTGGGTGAGCACACGACAAAATTTGGAACTGCGACTAGGTGTACAATAATCGGTGGAGATAAACACAAGTACACTATTAGTATCATAGTTATAACGGAATTAGACAATTAAGGTGCCTAAGATAATAGATAAAGAATCATGGCACCCCCACCTAAAAAAGATGCTTTTGCCGATTTATTTCAATCGGCAAATTTGGGATCAAACGGTTCACTTAACGATAAGAATCTCAGTCTCTTAGAAAGACAAAGAAAACAACAGAGTCCGGCTATAAACAAGTCAAATTATTCACAAAATAGCTTTTCGAATTTGGATATACTTGGTGGGAGTCCAGCAAGCAATTCGAGTGTAGGATCGGTGAATCAATCGAGATCGTCGACGCCAAATCAGTCGAATGACCCGTTTTCGATCTTTGAGAAACCTCAGGATAAGGAGCCAATTAGGACCAGCAGACCATCGGCGCCAGTGTCAGAGACGATGAATAATACGTCCAATACGGGAATAGGTGGGAAAAACAAGCATGAGGTGTCATTATTGGACGATGAGTTTACTGATGCATTCACCCCGGAGCCAGAAACAGCAGAGCAACTCACAGATTCCAAAAGAGGTTCGAGATCGGAAATTGGAGCTCGTCCTCGTGTAAACAACGGACCCAAGCTGACAGAACAGGTGTCTGGCCCGAGGACGCAAGATAAACCTAGTTCCAGGACCAGTTCCAGGACACAGGTTAGATTGAGCGAATCCGATTCCAGACAGTCGAAACACGAGTCTTCTACCGATGCCCGAGATACAACGTTAGCGGAGCTCGTGGACATCGGATTCTCGATTGAGCAATCGAACGAAGCTATCGATGAGGTAGGCCTCGATCTTCAAACCTGTGTCAATTTCATAATGGGTGGAGGAAAAAAGAAGACGAAGAAGAAGGAGGCGACCAATAGACCAATCCACAATGATAGAGACTTGAATAATGATTTTGGTGCTAAAATAAACGATTTTTCAACTGATTTCTTTAATAAGGCATCTTTATTTATAAATAATTCAAGAAACACAGTGATGAAGAACATTGAACAGTTTCAACACCATTCAAAATCAGACCAGAACGACGGAGAAAGCTCATTACCGGCATGGATGAAATCTCAGCATATGTATAAAGAGGATGCGGCGGAAAGAAAGGCAAATGGAGGTGTTTCAGAAAACTATGGGTCAGATGAAGAGAATATCGACCATGAGGCTATTAACGAATTCATTGCGTCTCAAAAAATAAAGGATAAGGAAAAACAAAGGGCTCGCTATGAGCATCTCAAGGGGCTCGCAAAGAATCAGATAAGTGGATCCACTAATACTTCGAATTCACAACTGGGTAGATCATCGCCAATAAAACACCCTGAATTACCTCAGAGGCCATCACTGCAACCTCAAAGTGGTCCATCTCGTAATGAACAAAAGCCTCAAGCTTCCAGTATTCAACAACCAAGGGCCAAACAAGCAAGCCAACCAGTTGAGAATGAAGTTGATTTACTAGGTATGAATCATAAATCAGGCCACAATAAGAGTCAAGGCAAATCGTCCGGTGGAACAATTGAGCATACGTTTGTTCTGACTCCATTGAACCAATTCCAAGCTTCAGATTACGAGACCTCCAAGGATAAGGCTACCGAGCTGTTTAGGGTAGGTGATTATGATACCGCACACGTAGCTTATACAAGATGTTTAGAGTCGTTACCAGAAAAACATGAGTTGAGACTAGTTATCAATTCAAATTTGGCCTTGACGTTGATCAAGACTGGAAATTATAAACAAGCCAAAATTTGTTGCGACGAAGCGCTTCAATTGGTGACGGAAAACGATTTACAAGACTATGCATATTTGATCAATGAAAAAACGATCAAGTCTTGGTACACTAAATTACTTTCAAGAAAGGCTGAGAGTTTAGAAATGTTAGAATCATTCCCTGAAGCATTAGAAAGCTATATGGAATTAATCTCCAAATATGGAGTGACAGATAAAAAAATTATGGATGGTAGAAGACGGGTCAATCATATTGTGAATCCACCAAAAGCAAAACCAAGAGCGGCCAGTCCAGAAAAGGCACCATCTAAACCAAAAACACCTACACAAACGGAAAACAATGACAACTTGCGTCGTATACAAAAACAACACGAAGACACTAAGAAGCAAGAGGAAATGAAGTTCAATCTTCACGACGACATCCAAGCACGTATTTTCGCATGGAGTAATGGTAAAGAGGACAATATCCGGACCTTGCTCATGTCGTTGGACGATATAATTCCTGCAAAATTAGGGCTTCCGTTTGCCACAACTAAAAAGTTGACCATTAACGATTTAATGTTACCCAAAAAGGTTAAGATAAACTACATGAAGGTTATCAGTTCGATCCATCCCGATAAGTTGACAAACTTAGAGTTGGAAGATAAAATGGTCTGCGAGGCCGTCTTCATCACCTTGAACAAGGCATGGGATATCTTCAAGGAACAGAACGGGATGAACTAAGCATATAGAACAGCGAACATTTTCCTTCTTAACACCATATGATGTAACTAGACCCTACGTAGATCCTACAACCCCCAACACCAATAAACTTATCATTCCCACGAATTCAACCTCCTGTAGCGCATCCATAGCATCGATTTGGCCTCAACTAATCAATCGCACATTGAATAATCTATCAAACATACATAATCCCTCCATACACCATCAATATATCTTTGATATTATGCCGGATGATGTATGGATGTACGCCGTCCCCTTGTGTTTCCCCGTAACCCTGGGCTTTATACGAACCTCGTCTTTTTGTTACGCATTTACGTGGCGCATGCTAATGGCAATTATTTGAAGAAATAATCCCGCCGGCTTCGTTGTACATCAAGGCTAATTCCTTCCCATTAGAGGTCCTACGTGCTAAAATTCCATGTTTCTTGCATTAATTTACATTTATGTATTAATAGAGTTTGATATAGGTATGGTTATAAGTAGTTATAATAAAGATGGTCGTCCTAAATAAAACCTTAACGCCAGATTCGGCGGTTACAGCCAACGTTGTTGGATTCCTTCAATACGCGTTGTAGAGTCACCAACGGGGCCACCCTAACAATACTGGTATACAATGCTATACCCCTTCCAATATCTACAACAATTTGCCGGCCTATACAAGGTTAAAACGACTATTATTTCGTACAGCACAGCCCTAATCGACCGCATTAAGCATATTCACTGCATGGTGCGCACTCACCGCAGTTTCACAACCAGGAGTACGAACCATTAATTACTATTGAACCTCTGTGACCAACCCACCAATGCCGGCACAGGCTGTAGCGAAGCCTTCTTATGGTTAGCACGTTAGCACTTGAGATATTAAACGGTAGGGTATATAATACTATCTAATTTCTTATTATTTAATTTTTTGTATGCCCAAAGCATAATTTCTTATTCTGGTTTATTTCATCTGCTAAGGACGAGGTAATTTTATCTCCATAAATTATTTACTTATTTGTTTAATTATATTAACTACTTCAATCTATTAGGAATATTTATTATATTTCTGTTGTATTATATCACTACCGTTACACAGAGGGATTATATCGATCCACTTTCGCTTAGATCATAGATTACATAATTGGGACACAATTCCTAGCCACCCCTTCCCGAGAAAACAACAAGTAAAATGGCTATTTTCAGATCCAAATCCTCCAAGAAGGACGAATCTCACGAAGGAGAAGTAAGATTTTCAAAGCAAGACTTTAATTCCTACAAAATGACGACGAACAACATGCACGATCCGATTTTATCGGCCGTGAACGAAGCACAACCATTCGAACAAGCAGCACAACATGATAGCCAAAGAAGACCATCGTACTTATCACAAGAATCAGCGGAATTGAAGGACATCTTTGGAAACAACATCAGACAGGCCGATATTTCGAATCCAACCAGATCAAGAAACGAAAGACCTTTGGACACGATCCGGACGTTTGAATACGCCATCACCGGGGACCCAACTTACAGAGACCAAATGGAAACACAAAGATTAGGATGGGGATTCCATGAAGACTTTTCATATCACAATATGGGCGCCAGAGACGCGAATGCTAATGGTACAGGAGAATTTGAGAGGCCTGTCATTAACTTTGGTGCCAATGATAACCAAGGAGTGTATCAGGCCCCTAACTACAGTGCTGCATCGTTGCAGCCGGAAACTAAGAAGAAGAAGAAGGGTTTATTTGGCCGTAAGAAGAAATAGGTGTAATAGGGGTATAGACAGCAAACCAGCTCATCCGGGTTCCATAAAGCGATTGGCGATGTGGAATCCCACAGCTTTGCACGGAATATATATGATTTTATTTACGTTGTACTTTGATTTGTCGTATTTTTATTGTAATGATGTAGACGAGTTTCAGACGGAGGTGGATGGACATGTAAATAGATGTACAAATGAATGTTCCAGAAGGAAGTGCAACTTGAAGTATGCAAGACATAGATGCAATGTGACAAATTTGATCTAGAAGCGAATATTCATAACACCATATAGAGATCTACAATTTTGCGACCTGTCATTGATCTGATCACCTAATCGTGTCCTCCAATCATTTGCTTGCACTTTATTAGCAATTATCTGGTCTGCTGGTGGTCGGGATAATTTGCTCAACATTTGCACTATACAATATTACTTTGCACACCTAATCACAGAAGATTCTAGTTAATTTAGCCTACAAGATCTAAATTCTGGTTCCCGATTGTAGTCTACAAGACAGCTGCACATATCTCTTTGCTTTGTACTCGTAGTGCCTTCTAGACATAAGCTCGTACTAAAATCCTGATAATTTTGGTGTTTCGCGCAACGGTGATCATTTTCAGTTGAAACTTGATAACCCCAAGATTCATATATATACTTAAAGTGCTCTTTTTCTCATATTACAATAACTTAAGATCACATAGAACGCTTGTGTTAACAATGAACAATGAACAACCACCACCACAACAGGCTCACACGAGACAAATTTCGTTTAACGTGTCAGACCACTATCAGATTCTCGAAGTGGTAGGTGAAGGGGCATATGGGATCGTTTGCTCAGCTATCCACAAGCCTACGAACCAGAAGGTTGCTATAAAGAAAATCGAGCCATTTGAAAGATCGATGTTATGTCTTCGGACCCTCCGAGAGTTGAAGTTGCTTAAACATTTCAATCATGAAAATATTATTTCAATCCTTGCCATACAGCGACCCATCAACTTCAACTTATTCAACGAAATATACTTGATTCAGGAGCTTATGGAGACGGATTTACACCGGGTTATCAAGACGCAAAAGCTAAGCGACGACCATATCCAGTACTTTATTTATCAGACATTACGGGCATTGAAGACCATGCACCTGGCTAATGTATTGCATCGAGACTTAAAGCCGTCAAACTTGTTGTTGAACTCCAACTGTGATTTGAAGATCTGTGACTTTGGGTTGGCTCGATCCATTGCGTCCAGCGAGGATAACTTCGGATTTATGACGGAGTATGTTGCCACAAGGTGGTATAGGGCCCCAGAAATAATGTTGACATTCCAGGAATACACTACTGCCATTGATGTGTGGTCTGTGGGATGTATTTTGGCTGAAATGTTGGTGGGAAGACCGTTGTTTCCGGGAAGAGACTACCATAACCAACTTTGGCTTATCATAGAGGTATTGGGAACACCTAACATGGAAGACTACTATAATATTAAGCTGAAACGTGCTCGAGAATATATTCGCTCGTTACCCTTCGTGAAGAAGGTTCCATTTGCAAACTTGTTCAACAGCGAGGCCATCAACCCATTAGCTATCGATTTATTGGAAAACTTGTTGGTATTTAATCCGGCCAAGAGAATAACAGTGGACAATGCATTGAACCACCCATACCTTAAAATATATCACGACCCGAATGACGAGCCCATCTCAGAAAAGATTCCCGAAGATTTCTTTGATTTCGATAAACGTAAAGATGAGTTATCGATTGAAGATTTGAAGAAACTCCTCTATGATGAAATTATGAAACCGTTATAATCGATTACTATTTATATCTACAGTCATGTGCTCATTATTTGTCATATATTGCATTTTCTACCTACATAGGTTTGTTTATAGAATTGCATTAACATAACCTTTGGCTTTGCACCCAAGAAACTGTAGAACTAAACACCATACTACCACTTCCACAAGAATCTGGAACTTTCCAAACCACACCACCTATATCCCTTACCTTATTCTACACCCATCACCACATCCATACCAGTATTAACCCCCACCATGGGCCTCTAAGGGCCTATATTCATCAAAAAATCTTACTGTAAAGGGTAGGTCGTGCACAGCTACCGTGGTTTTTGAACGCGTGTTAAATTATCACCATTGAAAATCAACCATAAATACTACTCTTTGACAAACTTTCAGCAAGTCTTCATCAATTCCCATCCATAATGAAGTTGTCTGTTGTAGCATTGACTTTAATGTCATTGTTCCTTACAATGATCGAAGCCCATAATGTGTTATTGCCCCCATACGGAAAGCACTGCTTCTTTGAAAACTTGAAGAAGAACGACGAGTTGGCAGTGAGTTTCCAAGTTGGATCAAGAGACCCTCACAACTCCGAACAATATGTCGTTGACTTCCACGTATGTACCACCCCATCTATTAATCTACAAATGTCATAATACTAACTAATCCTAGATCACGACCCCTAATGGCCAAGTGGTGTTGAAGAAAACAGATTTGGATCACGGGGACGAGCAAATAAAGGCCCAGACCTCCGGAAAGTACCAGTACTGTTTCTCCAACGAAAAAACAAGTCGTGTCGACTTGGATGTTTCCTTCAATATCCATGGGGTTGTCTACGTCGATGTCAACGACCCTAAGGCCGACTCGTTAGACTACGCAATTCAAAGAATGAGCCAATTGACCAACGACGTTAAGGCCGAACAAACTTATCTTGTCATCAGAGAAAGAACTCACAGAAATACTGCAGAATCTACCAACTCGAGGGTTAAATGGTGGTCGGTATTCCAGGTTTTAGTGGTTGCGGCCAATTCGGTCTTCCAAATCTACTACTTAAAGCGTTTCTTCGAGGTCAAATCGGTAGTTTAACCTATTTTGTCCCGGTTTTCGCCCCCTCACCTGGTATCTGACACCCTTTCTACACCCCGTCTGTTTATACATACCTTTATATACGTCTTTGTTTGCCTATTAATGTATATCATAGCGAAAATAGTGTACGGTGTTTAACCATTTTCTCACATGATTCCAGTCCCCACCCATAAATTGCCTCGCGTGAAAGGAGAAAAATCCGGCTTAACTAAAAGAATATAAAAGGACTTAGTTCTTCTATTATCAACAGTAGAATTCGGACATTAGAAGTTACACACTAGTTATAGATATACAATATGTCAAAATATTTTTCAAGTATTAAAGAATTACCACCAGACCCATTATTTGGGTTGAAAGCTAGATATACGGCCGATGACCGTTCAGATAAAGTAGATTTGGGAATTGGTGCTTATAGAGATAATAGCGGGAAGCCATGGATATTACCAGCCGTCAGAAAGGCAGAAGTGAAGTTGGTGAACTCGGAAGGATACAACCACGAGTATTTGTCGATTTCGGGGTATCAGCCATTTTTGACTGAGAGTGCTAAAGTTATTTTGGGAAACAACTCACCAGCCATCAAGGAATCGAGAGTGATCAGTCAACAATCGTTGTCTGGTACCGGGGCTTTGCACTTGGCGGGAGCGTTTTTGAAGGAATTTTTCACCACTGAATCGAAGGAAGCGCCAGCGGTATACTTATCGAATCCTACTTGGGCCAACCATAACCAAATTTTCACTAGTTTGGGTTTGAAGGTGGAGAAGTACCCATACTGGGACAATGATACCAAATCATTGGACTTAAAGGGGTTCTTGTCGACTATTCAAAAAGCACCTAAGAACTCGATTTTTGTGTTGCATGCGTGTGCCCATAATCCTACTGGACTCGATGCCACCAAGGAGCAATGGGAGCAAATTCTCGAAGCATTGGCCAAGAATGAACACTTAGCATTATACGACTCTGCCTACCAAGGGTTCGCTAGTGGTAACTTGGATAACGATGGGTTTGCCGTAAGATTGGCTGTCGACTCGAAGAAGTTGAAGACCCCGATCGTCATCTGTCAATCTTTCGCAAAGAATTGTGGTATGTACGGTGAAAGAGTTGGTGCCATTCACGTCATCCCAGCCGAAAATGATAAGTCGTTGAACAACGCTATAAAGTCGCAATTGAACAAGCTTACCAGATCGGAGATTTCTAATCCTCCAGCGTACGGAGCCAAGGTTGTTGCAACCATTTTGACCGACTCAGAATTGAGACAGCAATGGGAAGACGACTTGGTCACCATGAGTTCGAGAATCAACAAAATGAGAACCAAGTTGAGAGATTTGTTGACAGACCAATACAACACTCCTGGTAACTGGGATCATATTGTCTCCCAATCAGGTATGTTCTCGTTCACAGGATTGACCCCAGACATGGTGTCCAGATTGGAAAAGAACCACGGAATCTACTTGGTTAGCTCCGGTAGAGCCTCCGTTGCTGGTTTGAATGATGGCAACGTTGAAAAGGTCGCCAAGGCCATCGACGAAGTTGTGCGTTTCTACTCCAAGTCCAAGTTATAATCGTATTTAGTTCTAGTATTATACACACTAATTTTTCCGCTATTTTCTTTCGGGCTCGCTGTTATGCCCAGCTACTACTCAATATACAACCATTTATGCCATCTCGCGTACTACATTATCTCTGACAGATGCATTATATTTGAAATATAAACTTTCGAAAGTTCCCAAGAAACTATTACTTTTTTTAAATATACAAAATAAAACTAATTAATAAAAAAGCTCAACTAATAAAACCAAACATCAATTAATATATCATCTTCATTTTACTTTTATTAATTCTCACCCTTTACCATCAATTAATCTATTTTCTTCTGAATGAACAACCTTCGGTTAACTTGGCCTTACCACCGGATGGGGTACATAAAACGGTGGAACAAGAGTCACAGGTGACAGCAGTTTGTGCGTGAGAGAAAACAGTGGTAATGTTTAAACAACCTTGACACTTGACATCCATGAAGAAAGATCTTGGTTGTTGGACTAAGGTCTTCAATTTATGTTTTTGAGCTTCGGAAGCTGGAGATGGGTTTAACAAATCTTGAACTAAAACCTATATTTATGTTAGTATATTGTTTCTCGTTTATCGGTTCACTTTCTCACTTGCAGTGCCTCCCTGTCCGTTGGTTCATCCAGAGGTATGTTCGCCAGAACACACCGTACTTCGTCTTGTAATCGCCCCTTGACCCTTTCATTACTCATAAACCATACCCATGGCTTCATAAACATATCCCACTAATTCATTATTCATTATTCTTATGTCAAAACTCCTTATTCATGTCCACTAATCCAATTCGTCTATTCATATTTTCAGTATTTCCCCATTCATTACTGTCTCTTATATCTTACGGTCACCTCTGGATCCTACGTATGGCTCAGCATTTCATCTCCTATGTGTATCTAGACATACCATTTTATCTTATTCGATCTTCTATATGGAAAGGTAAGTAAATTTTTCACTAATAAAATTTCAGTTTTTTTTTTCGTACCCAAACGGTACTAATTGTTCAAACTTTTCACTATTGTGAGGATTGAGGCCTGTATTACATAATCTCACCAAAATCCACAATTTTGTTCATCGAAAGGAAGGCGAAAAGTTATTACAATGTCACGTGAACTGTGACTGCTTTTTCCTGATTGTATTAGCGGTTGGTAAGAAGGGAACGTAAACGGATGTGATGGATGCGATTAATGGGATCGATGACTCCGTATGCAAGAAACTCGAGTACGACATGTGAAGTGTGTATAATGTCTACTAAGCGCCATCGTAGAGTGGCATGCTGGAGCATAGGAAAGGCATAAACATAAAATATATAATATAAGTAAAACATAGGTAACTAAATAACCCCAGAACACTATTCAGCTAATCAAGAAGTGTAGATTTGACAAGAATAAATAAAACCCGTCTAGAGAAATCTAGTATAGACATCCCTATTTGATGCAGCTGGTGGCAGGGAAATTTATTCAAGCAAGCGCGAATAACAACTAGTAGTAAATTATAACACTAAAACACTATAAAGGAAGAACACAAGGATTGAAGCAGGAGCAGCGAAAACACCAGCAGTAGGAGCAGCAGCCGGACATCCAGCAACATCAATTCAATGATATATCGATCTTCTGTAACAATTTCTTAAACTATAGATACCGCCTTTTTGCAAGGAAGTAGGTATATAAAACAAACTATATGCGATATAAAATTCTGAAGTCTATGTAACAAAGGGATACCTGAATCTTATGTCGTGATAGAATATTAATGTTCATCGATTTCATCAGGACCATAAGATAGGGAAAGATAATTGGAGAGAAGATACCAAAGACATTATTGAAATTGAATTATAACTTGGGTTGTATAAAAATTTTAGAAAGCGATATAGCATTTCAACAAACAAAAATAGGAGATGGGGCAAGAATATGGTTTACAAAAAGGAGGGTCTCGGTGGAGGATTTTTTTGGATTTTTTGGGGTTTTCTGGGAAAGTAGCATTACTGATAGACCCTTATTTCGACCCTCTTCTTGGTTTTCTTGGAGGTGTCACCGGCCTATTATTAGAAATATTGTTTGATTGCGGATATCTTGGCTTCTTGTCAGCAGGCTTCAAGATTTGGAACGAGCACAATAAACTTTCGTCCACACTCATCATGGCACCGGCATTGTCGAATTCACCACAGTAGTTTGGAGCGGAGAATAAGGTAACCAACTGTCTCTTTGAGAAGAATTCATAACCATCTTCAACGACTTGATGTGCTCTACAAATTAAATCCATATCGTGTTTTTGTAAAAATCTAGACACAACATCAGGACCAAACGTGAACGATACACCTCTGTCATTTTCGGACCATCCGGTGATATCTTTGTCGGGATCGGACCATAATAAGTCACATAATAATCCTACATCTGGAATATCAGTTGGTCTCATAACTCTTCTAATTTGTTCCATAGAATTCAAATCTGGCGATAAACCACCATGCATTGTGAAGATCTTTTCATCAATTATAGCTGCAATAGGTAAGCAGTTGAAACAATCAGTGAAGGTTTTCCACAACTTAATATTATATCTTCTCTTACATTCATCGTAAAAACCATAAATTCTGTTAATTGAGGCACACTCGTGGTTACCTCTCAAAATGAAAAAGTTTTCAGGATACTTGATCTTGTAGGCCAATAACAAGCAAATGGTTTCTAAAGATTGCTTTCCTCTATCGACGTAATCACCCAAAAACAAATAGTTAGCTTCGGGTGGGAACCCCCCATATTCGAAGAGTCGTAATAAATCGTAGTATTGTCCGTGAATATCACCACAGATCTTAATAGGAGCTTCTAATTCCAATAAGATCGGTTGTTGAATGAAAATCTCTCTAGCTTTGGTACATAAGTAACGGATTTCATGTTCTAACAACGTGACTTGTTTTCCTGGTCTAGAACCTCTGACTTCCAACAATCTGTCGACAATAGAGTCGATGTCTGCCTCTTGATGATCTGCCATTGTATTATATTATATTGTATTTTATTATATGGATGGATAGTACCGGATACTATGTTATGTGTAATATGTGTGGATAGTTAATTTGTGTGATGTTCTATGTAATATGCAGAAGACGTGTCAACAATATTATAACTTATAATATATATTTATCAATTGAAACGACGATGGTATTGATGAATCTGTATCTATTTTCTTCAGCTGTGGCGAAAAAATGTTACTAGTACTGATACGGATATTCACTTCAATGAGTTCTTGATACCAAATTCGAAAATCTGACTTCTAACACCTATGGATATATTCGGGTAAACAACCAGGCAAATAAATAAATCAAACGAACTATTCACTATTATGTGAAGCTAAACAACGAAAAAAACAGTTGTGCTATAAAAAATATTGAAAAAGGGATGAAAATCTTTATCAATTAATAATAGCGGATAAATTCAAAATTTAAATGTCAAACTGCAAATAATTACAAAATAGTTCTATCTTATGAATATCTTATAATTATATTATTTATTCGATTGATTGATTAATAAAAATATATTTGATATACTAAATCAAACAGTCTATAGTTGTTGATAATAACATTTGCTATACAATTTGCACTTCGGTCTCGCAAGTTTTTTGAAATTTGCGAATTTGGAACGACGGTTACCCGGCTGGGAGGTTCCATTATACGATGATATGGTGCAAGTTAGGACTAATATCACAGGGATTATGGCACATTGAAGGGCAATGAGTGCATTCCCTAATCATTACCATGCCAGGCTAGTTGCGGAGAAAGACTCCAAAGCATGTACGCTATGTTTTAAGCCAACAACCACGGTTTTAATATCCCAAAACAGGGTCGATTTCTTTTATATTTGCCCTCTGCACTTGAAAGACGAACATTTTAGCAATGCAATACGGCCAAACGAGTATAAGGAGCTCGAGACCAAGAAGGAGGAACTAGACAAGAAAATTGAAGACAGTCGCAAACGAGTCGAGAGACTCAAGCCGTATGCATGGAACTTTTTAAACGGTATGGTGGGCTCCAAAAAGGGCGAAAGGACAGATGTGGATAAGGACAAAGGTACGGAAAAGGGTACGGAAAAGGGTACGGAAAAAGACATGAAAAAAGAGACGTACGAGACTGCAAAGCAAGACTTGAGGCGATTAGAGGGAGAATTGAACGAAATTAATAGTGGCATTAGTAACTATAAATTTAAGGATTACACATTAAACAAAGATATTTATCGTATGCGGATTCAGAACTGCGCTCAGTCAAAGGTCCGCGTCAAAAAACAGCAGGAAATGCATAAGCCAGGTTTTTTTCCATCAGCACCACAACACGAGGTGGATAAGGTGGACAAATAGGCAAAATAGTGGTTCAATTGACGACTTTCTCGTCAATCCAGTTTTCCCAACCTTCGGACTTGTTCTTCAAAACTGAGCCACCGATGAAATCCATGTTTCCTTCTAAGAATTCGAATTTGAATGATTGCTGTTGGCCCATTGTAGATGACCAGAATTCCCTAATAGCATTGTCGTTCTCTTCACTTTCAAGCTCGTTTTCGTTGTTCTCTTGGAACTTCTTGGCCAGCAATTCATTTTTAATTAGCTTTGTCATTTCCAATTCAAGGATTTCTTTGACCTTATGTATTGGCTTGGAATCAAATAAGTCTTGTTTATTCACGGCAAATAAGAAATCAATTCCGTTTGGTAATTTTTCGGTGGAACTGAGTAAGGTAAATAATTGTTTAGATATTAATTTAACAGCTTCTCCATTGATAGCATTAGATGACGAATCAATCACATATATTATACCTCTAATGTTCTTCAAAGTAATATCCTCATTCATCAATTTGGTTAAAAGTTTCGAGTACTTGATGTGGCCAGGGTAATCAATGATTTGATACTTTGATCCTAGCTTAGGATTTGAGAAAGGCAAATTTTTATCTTTTACATTAGGCTCTATCGACGAAACCGTAGGTGTAAACTCGTGTTTATGATCAGGGTCACTGATAAATCTGAAAAATAATGCTGTTTTACCACTATTATTCGGTCCTATTATCAAAAATGTTGGTTTTGAATATTGTGATCTGCCACCCTTTTTGGTTTCTAAATTTTGTATGTAGAATATCAATAAAGTAACTCCCAACCCTAACAAAAGAGTGATTAACGACACTTGAATATAATCCATCTTCGACAAGTAATATTTAGCCTCTTAGTATCAAGTATGAAAATTCATCGAAATATCTCCCATGATTGTGACTGCACACAAGAAATTACATACAAAAGAGCTGATATGTCCAAGACCTCTTAAAGTTTGTACTTTTAACATGTTTATCAACAAGTGGTTCAAGTGATCATATTTTGAATTGTTCTTGGATAATTAAAAATGTGTGTCAAAGCTAAATCACCGTAGTATAACCATAGAATGAGCTTGTGCAACCTAAGTATAGAGATCGAATGATGCAGTAAAGTATCATAATGCGTTTTTAGCATTCGTCGCCCGCAAGGTTTCTCTGCTACTAATAGCTTGAATGCTGTTTAATATATTTGGAATAACTATAAGATAGGAACAATCAAATAAAGAAGAAAACTATACTACAGAAACAAAGAGAATAGAAATTTTACTGCTATTGTTGTAGAGAACATGATATCACGTATGGACAGTCTATTGTCACTCAAATATGTTACCTGAGGTTCAGAATGTCAAAAATTAAACAAGACTGTTATTAATAGGGTGAAATTAAGATATTAC